GGATAATAATTTTTTTAATTTAAAAAATATATACATAATTTTGCAAAACCAACACAACAAATTATACAATATGCATACTCTTCCCAATAACCCAATAATATACTCTAAACTTCACAATTATACAAAACTAACTATAAACAGTATATATATCATGACAATATTTATATCTAACACAATAATAACAATTAACACATTTAAAATTGAAATCAAAATAGTTAGTCAATACGATATTATATCAATTAATAACAATACTTGCCCTTAGGATTGGGTTCAACCTTTTGTAAGAATTAATAACAATACTTATTAATTAAAATAAAAGATAATATTTAATTTAATGTAACCAAAGTTACACGTACTCTTTTAAAAAGTATGTCATCCACAAGTTTCGAATCTCATTTATTTCGTTGCAAGAGTACAATGCTTCTTCAAGTGTCTACAAAATTATTTAATTAATCAAATTATTAAATATGTTAATTAATAAATTATAATTTTACTATGCATAGTTCTATTTACATTCACTTATCTCATATAAACAATCAATCGGTGAATATTAATTGACAATCTCATACATGTATCTCAATACATATAACATAATATCCCCACTCATCACCTCCCGGTTGTTGGGGACACTATAAAATACATATGTATTTTAGTAGTTTAAACAAGAGTTAATTCTCAAAATGGTCATTTGACTATGACATTTTCTCAAATTGGTCTCTTAACTTTTAATTTCACCAAATAGTCCTTCGACTTTTGAATTTCAAGCTAAAATGGTCCTCTGTTAGCTTTGGCGTTAAGTTGGTGTTAAAATGAAAGGTAAAACTGGAAATTTAGGTTTTGCACTCCAATTTAAAGCAATATGTGATTCCTTTCAGGAGTATGCACACATATTTCTTCAAATTAGATTTTTGCTATCCTAAATCTACAATCAAAATGTGGGATAATCAACTAGAAGGCCAGAAATCTTTGCCTTGGGAAGTTTATGGATGAAGTTGAAGATAAAATTTTTTGGCCTTCTAGGTGATTATCAATTAGCTGGCCGATTCATAGGTTTAAATGACAAAACTAAATTATAGAATTAAACATGGTCATTTGTGGGGTCTTGAATTTTTAACCACTACTTGTTGAAATAATAACACTTATGTGTGTCCGTTTAGCATATATGCTTTAATGTTTCTTAGGTATGAGTTGACATGAGAATAATAGGTAAGACACCCTAGAAAAGAATCAGTTATGTGGAAGAGAAATGAGATCGCTTCAAAGAATAATTGTTTTGGACTCAATTCTATAAAAACTCCTGCAGAACTAAACAATGTGTTTAATGGCTAAAATGGACTCACCATGAGAATTGAATAAAGATTTGAGGTTTCTAGGTAAAATATATCATCGTTTATACTAGCACCATGACGGTTCATACACATCGAGCCTATTTGGCAGCTAGATGGTAAGCAAATATGTCTTTACAATGGAAGATTCAAAGGTTGATACATACATATTCAGTGAACACTATTGTGTCTTTTTCTCATATATGACTTTTTTTAAGTCACAAGGGAGATTGTTGAAAAATCGGCATGTGAGTGGTCATTTTGAGTGGGTAGATTAAGTTAAAGTGGAATTGGGTTCTCCTAATACTTTTAAATCAAAATGTAATATTTAATGGTTGAAGAATTACTTATAAGAAATGATGTAATACTAATAAAGAATAAATTAATTGATTATTACTTATGAGTGAAAACGTGGGATGAATTGATTATTACTTATTAGAAAAAAAAAGTGATACTTTAAAAAAATGTAATTTTTTAAAATCAAAATGTAATATTTAAAATTGAAGAGTTACTAAGATAATTTATAAAACTTATGAGATAAAGTGTAATGCTTGTGAAAAACTTTATTAGTTTCACGATAAAGATTAATGAGACCGTCGGAGATTTTGCCTATTTTCGGGTCGTTATATCATAGACCGCGGTGCATGTGCACCGCGGTAAAAAACGGCGCCGTTTCTTTAAGTAAAGAAACGGCCCGCCGTTATAGTTAACAGAGTCCGCTTGTTTGGTGTATTAAACATCAACTGACACTACAGTATATTTAAACCGACACTGCAGTTATATCAAAATGATACTGTAGTTATAGTGAAATGAAACTGCAGTGTATATAAAATAAAACTAAATAACATTTCACATATTTGAGTGTATATATTGTACAATGAAGCTGTAATTATATCAAAATGATCATGTAGTTGTGTTTTAATGAAACTATAATGTATATAAAATAAAATTAAATAACATTTTCACATATTTGAGTCTATAAATATCGAATGAAACTATAGTTATATCGAACTGAAACTGTAGTTGTGTTGAACTGAAACTGCAGTGTATACAAAATGACACTGAATAACAGGATTACTTTTTGCGAAAAGGTGCAAAACGACGAAAAACAAACACCATTTCTTTTCATTTAAAAAAAGGACGCGCGGTGCATGATTGATCAATTACTTTAAGTTGACATATTTGAGTTAAAAGAAATGTGATGGAATTACTAAATTCTATTGAAGGTGTTCAAATCCAGCCCAAATGTAGTATATACCTTTAGAACAGAAAGGCCCAAAACATATGGCTTATTGGCATTAGAAATGTAATGTATATGCCCACAGGAAAGCCACACCGGTTGTTATACAATGGACCATCGTCCATAGTGCTACGTGGACCATAGTTGTCAAATGAAACTGTAGTAAAATTAAAATGATACTTTAGTGTTGCTAAAATGAAATTAGTATGTGTAAAAAATAGAACTTAAAAACAAAGCTCATTCAACAATGTATATTGTCAAATGAAATTGTAGTATAATTAAAATTATACTTTAATGTTGTTAAAATGAAACTAGTGTGTGTGAAAAATGAAACTAAAATCCAGAATCATACAATAACATATATTGTCAAATGAACGTTGAGTGTAATTGAAACAATACTTTAGCATTATTATAATTAAACTAGTGCGTGTGGAAAAATGAAACTACAAAATAGAGTTCATACAATAATGTATATTGTTAAATAAAATTGTATAGAATTAAAATGATACTTTGGTATTGCTATAATGAAACTAGTGCGTGTGGAAAATGAAACTGAAAAACAGAACAATATTGTCAAATGAAACTAAAGTGTGATTAGAATGATACTTACTTTATGGATCACATTACTACATCGACCATGGTCCATAGTAAAATTTGCCAAAGCCACACGACAAATTATATTGTAGACCAGGGTCCACAATGCAATACACAGAATTTGACTTCATAATGCACGAATTCATGTTCATAATACACATACACATAAACATGATATAATGAACTTGAATTATGTGCATTATGAACATTAATTTTGTGTATTATGTTAAGTGTTTATGTGTCCTCACTCCTCAGCTATATAATACACAGAATTCATGTTTATAATGCACAGAATTCATATTCATTATGTTGAGTTTATGTGTATGTGTATTATGAACATAAATTCTGTGTATTGGATCAGGGTCCACAGTGCACTGTGGACCCTGGTTCATGATATAACGATCGAAAGCGCCCCCCCCCCCCCCCCCCCCACACACACAAAAAGTGGATTTCAATATTTTATTGTCCATTGTTAGTTTATAAATATTTTCTTAAATTGTATTTTAAGTTAATTTTATTGAATTTTTTTTTAGTATACCTAGGGTTTCTATCGTCGGACACAGTGACTAATTCACTCGCTGAATTGTAGTTATTTTGAAATCTGATAACTTTCCTTATATAAAAATTAATCGTGAAACCATTAAATGACTGTAGTATTTGGTAGAGGTGGGTACTGACTACTGAGTCATAACAAGTTTGGTTTGGAATTATTCAAGATATCTTTTTTTTTTTTAATCGGATTAAAATTTAAACTGAATACATAACAAAATAAATAAATTTAAATTTAAATTGGAGGCATACGAAATTCTGCTTAGGTTTTATCTTCATCAATCTGGACTTAAATGTTCATATACTGACACAAAAAATTTATTATTTGAATAATTTTGTCTTTGGTATTAGATGTTGCGAAGGAAAATTTTGGTTGTACTGTGTTTACTAATTAAAGAAAGTTAGAAAATTAAATAAAGGGAAAATTGTAAAAAATGCCCCTCTATAATATGCCAATTATCAATGTCACCCCTGAATTATGAGTGGTGTAAATGTTGCCCCTCAATTATCAAAACGGTGCACATATAGCCCCTCCCGTAACGGACATGTGGTTCCTCGTTAGTGTACGGCACCGTTAAGTTGGAGTAAATATGTAATTTAGTTGTTTTTTCCCTCCCTCGATTGGAAATACCTGCGATGTACAGCGGTGGGGAACCACATATCCATTACGGGAGGGGCTATATGTGCACCATTTTGATAATTGAGGGGCAACATTTACACCACTCATAATTCAGGGGTGACATTGATAATTGGCATATTATAAAGGGGCATTTTTTACAATTTTCCCTTAAATAAATAAAAATAAACAAATACGTTTATATTAATTATTATTATATGTACATTTTAAAAATAGAGAATAAGAGCATCCTTATCAGTTGAGGTTATTTCTAAGTTATTTGTGGGTCCCAGCATCCACCTCATCCTCTATCATCTCATTCAATTACAAAAAACCCTTCTCCACATCAATTTTGAGTTATTTCTCAGTTTTTTATGCACCCACCATTTAACTCACTATATTTTAATTATTTCTCTTACTTATTGGGACCACAAATATACCATACTTTGCATAAGAAATATTTTTGAAATAACTCCTCCCCACATCAGCTATTAACTTTGAGTGGAGAGAATTCATATAGAAATAACTCCTAAATAACTACTAGTATGGATGCTCTAAAGAATGAAAGTTTAGTAAACAAAATTTGAATTATTGAAGTAAGCATTAAGCAATGTCTATAATAATAGAAAATAAATGATGTCATATATGTGACTCTCCTTGAGAAAATGTTAAATAGTGGGGTATTGACTCTTTAGGCTATAACAGATAGAGAAAGTACAGAACATATACTATCTTGTAATATAGTCAATAATACTAAAAAAATAATTGACGGTTGATATAGTAAAAAATATTTAAATTTTAAAATACAATAGTTACACATACATTTTTTAATTATCCTCGAGAGTGTTTATTTTATAACATGTGAGACCAAATTAAAGAATACATTTATAATATTTGATATTTTAAAGTTAAATAATAAAAATGGTTTATTATTTGTTATTTATTTATTTTTCCCCATTTATATAAGGTTGAATAATGGTAGCAGTAGTCCTTGGTAGGCAATGCCCAGTGGGTAGTAGTTTCACTGGTTCATAAAAAGATCAATAGTTGCAGTAATAATTTTTACTCCGTATCTATTGTGAGAGAACTCTAGTCAAGTTAATTTGCTAACTATAGAGTTTCAAGTTTTACTTTCAATAAGAATTATTTATTGACTTTATTGATTTTAATTGGTTAGCTATTATTGACTTTATTGATTTTAATTGGTTAGCTATGGATAACCTAGGTTAGTTTACCTCCTTGTGATCCTTTATCGGCTAGTGCACAAGTCAGCTAGAGCACACATTTGGATAGTAGTTGTGAGCTTTTCTGTAAAATCAAAGATAATAGTAGTAATAAAATAAATTTAATAATAATAAGAGAAAATGGTCAAATACACCCCCGAATTTTATATGAGAAGTCAATTAGGCTCTCGAACTTTTGAAAGTTACAAATAAGAACATAAGCATGTTAATTTAGTGCATTAAGACCCAAAAACTTGTTAATAACCTATAATAACAAGTCACTAGGTTTCATGGGATATTCTGGTTACTTTCAAGTGAAAACCGACGATGGCCAACTAGCAAGTCGCCGGAGAAGGCGTCGCAGTTGGTCGCCATCTCCGGTTACTGGAGATGGCAACCAAACTAGTCGACGGGAGATGACAATCAAACTGGTCGCCTTTTACGTCATCGATTTGGTGAAGGCAACCAGTTTTGTTGCCATATCTAGTCGCCAGAGAAAGCGACCAACTGCGATGCCTTCTTCGGCGACCAAGTGGTCGCCCGTCACTGGTTTTCACCCTGAACATCGTTGGACAACCATCAGAATCCTATAACAGGTCACTAACCGATTTTTGGGTTTTGATGTACAAAATTGACATGTTTATATACTTAATTGCAACTTTCAAAAATTTGAAAGCCAAATTAACTTCGATGGTGTATTTAACCTTTTCCCCTAATAATAATAATGATAATAATAATAATAATAATAATAATAATAATAATAATAATAATAAGTAGCATTTTAGACTTTATACTACTTATTCTCTTTAAATTACCATTTATATTAAACATTGAAATTGAAATTTTCAATAATTCCATTCATGCAAACCAAATATTGAAATTTAAAGAGCAAATACCAATTTTGGTCCCACGAGTATTAACAAAACGACAGTTTTGGTTCACATGTTTAATTCCTACCAATTTTTATCCACAACTACTGTTTTAGTACCAAATTTCATCCACAATTATTGTTTTAGTGCCAAAATTCATCACGCCGGCCACTCTTTCATTTAAGACATGTTGAAAAATGAAATTATTAAGGATATTTTCGTCTTTTTCAAATTAAGATTTCAATTTGAGCATGAATAAATGGATTTAAATTCTAAGATCTATCCCAATTTACAATTCTCCCCTCCTCAAATTAAGGTAGGATGAGGAGGAGAACTGCGAATTAAGATCGATCTTAGGGTTTAAATCTCTTTATTCTTGTTCAAATTGAAAATGACGAAAATGCCTTTAAATTTTTTTAAATTTCGGCATGTCTTAAATGGATGAGGAGACCGGCGTGATGAATTTTGATACTAGAATAATACTCGTGGATGAAAATTGTTACTAGAACTATAATCGTGGACGAAAATTGATAGGAATTAAATATGTGGACCAAAATCGTCATTTAGCTAATACTCGTGTGATCAAATTAGTAGTTGTTCAAATTTAAATTACAACTTTATTTCCATATTATTCGTTTCTTATGAAATCATAGTTTTTTTTTTTTTTCAATCTAATTTTCTCCCTCCAACCAATTATCCGGTTAGATTAATCAAAAATTTTGGGAGAAGATTAATCAAAAATTTTGGGAGAAGATTAATCAAAATTTAAAAGTGGAATTTAATCTAATTCGAAAATAAGGCCGCGCGGGGTGGGGATGGAGGGAGACAGAGCTGACAAGCGGAGGACAGACTACAGAGAGCAACACACGTTCACGTGCGCCCTTCTTCCATTCTATCTTTTTCCTTAACTCCAAGTCCCTTCAAATTTTTTTTTTTTTCTTTTTAAGTAATACTTTATATCCCATTTTATTCTCCCAACAGGTTGAATACCGAACCCAAGGACCCCCCACACTTCTTTTATCCCGTTTTATGTGTATAGAATTCTGTCTCAGTTAATGAGACGTGATTAGAGTTATTTTTAATTAAATTTTTTAATATTAAATTTAGTATTAATATACAAAATTTATATATTTAAAAATTACACTAAAAATATTATTAAACACAAAAAGAAATATTTTAAATTTAAAAATATGTAAAAGATACTAAAAAAAAGAGTTAATAGTAGGACAGATAAAATAGGACAGATAAAATAAATCATAACGTTCTCTATACATTTCTTTAAAAAAAATATTCTTAATTTCTTTTACCAAATACCTATTCTCATTCAAAATGTATAATCATCCATTTATAATACTTTAACATTTTAATAAAATTATAATATATATTACAGAGGCAAAAAAACAAAAATAAAAAAAAAATAAAAATAATTATATGGAGCAGAAGATTGCATTGGGGTTGTACAGCGTAGGATACCTCTCTGCGCTGTTTTGCCTTTTCATGCTTTTTCTCTGCAATCGCCAGCCTTCTCCACACGTGTCCCTTGTACTCTTCTGTGCCTCTTTGTCCCCCGCTCTACATTTTATTTTATTTTTTTTCCAAAATTTCAACTTAAGCTAAATTAATTATAAATTTTTTTAAAATTATTGTTCAAAAACGTCAAAGGAAGGAAATCACAAGTTATCCATCAATTCTTAATTTTAAATTTTTTTTTTATTTATACACTCTGTACACAAATAATTTTCATCAACTCATCAATTTTTTAAGCTTTAGGTCTCCCAATTCATACACTTCTTTTCTTTCTTCATTCTCCATAATATATATATATATATATATATATATATATATATATATATATATATATATATATATAATCCCTCCTTTTATAGTTTTATTCATACCCTCAAATCATAAATAAAATAATTAAAAATAATAAGTGTATTTAATGAAGTATAACTACTTCTTTTCCCAAAAGATTGAATCCCCAACTCTAAGGGCTCGTTTGGTTCGCGGAAAATATTTTAAGGGAAGTGGAATTGAAATTCCATGAAAAATAATTACTAGGAAGATGAATTTCATTGTTTGGTTGGTGAAAAAAGAATTATTGGGAATACTAATTCTATTGTTTGGTTAGATTTGGAATTGTAAGGAATAACGAGTATAAAGACCTATATGCCCCTACAAATTAATAAAAGTAATATAATTAAAAAAAGTAAACAAGGGTAAAATAGGCATTCCATCTCACTTTTTCTTCGCATCTTCCATGGAAAACAAAATCCTTGGTCCAACCAAGAATTTTGTTTTCCTCAAATTTGAGGAATTCATTTTCCAATGGAAAATGAATTCCTTGAACCAAACACAAGAAAACAACACTTTCCTCCACTTCAAGTTGGAAAACATTTTCCATGAACCAAACATCCCCTAATGGTCTCTACACCCCGACACGACAGAGCATTTGGGAATTGAGAGGATGTAAATCATTGTGACTTAATGGCTCAACAGACATGGCCAAATGCCGGTGCATACAAGGGATCTGTCCACTTTGGACATAGTCCCCACACTGATGTTGTCGAAATTCGAACATTGATCTTTTCTCTCAAATAGTGCCTACTGAACCATTGAGCTAGGTGCGCATCATGCGTTCAAATTATATTGTATTAGATGAAGAAAAATGAAAGAATAAAAATCATAATTTTTTCATTTTATAAATTAATCAAAGCATGCTATAATAATAAGAACTAAAGAAAAGGAAAAAAAAAGAAGAGAATTTATGTAGTATTATTTTAAAAAATGGTCTTCTAAGGTCAATAATTAATAATCGTGTAAAAAATGAGAAATGATTTTTTTTCTATCTACTTTTATTTTTCAAATATAGTTAATATTTAATTTAATTAAATATAATGTAATATTACGATATTCAATGTGTAGTAGTCTCTCTATATAGCTTGTGTACTTATCATTATTATTATTATTATTATTATTATTATTATTATTATTATTATTATTATTATTATTATTATTATTATTATTATTATTTATTGATTGATTGATTAAGCTAACCTTTAAAAGAAATTACTCCGTATTTGTTAGTTTTATTTAACATTTTATTAATATGTTTAAATTGAACTTTTTATGTGTTTAGTAAAACTTGTAACATGATTTTGATTTAGTCTTAAACGACTTTTTGTGTTTGCATAAGTCATCGATTTTGATAGTTTTTCCAAAAGAGTTCTCTCTGTTAAAATAATTTAGTAATTTCACATTTATTAATACCCAATTTAGTCTTCAAATATAATAATTTTTTCCAAGGTAATCTTCGACTATAGTGATTTTATCTAATTTAATAATTGACTATGCTAATTTTTATCAATTTAGTTTTTGATTCTAAGAGCTGAAGATTCAATTGGATAAAACCATCAAAGCCGAGTACCTAATCAAGCACAAAAAGTCGTTTAAGACTAAATTGAGAAGAACCACTATAATCTAAGACTAAATTAGGTATTAACTCGCAGTATTTTATATATATATATATATATATATATATATATATATATATATATATATATATATATATATATATAGTACATTGACTTTCAAAAAATATATATATAGTACATTGTCTAGAATTATCTTTAGAATTTATTTATAATATAAAAATAAAATTGTTTTAATTTGTTAGAGTGAAATGAAAAAAAAAACCCATTAACCCGGCCCATAAATTTATCAATCTTTGCCGCTAGACAGTATAGACCTATCTCCAAGGAGGCAGAAGCAGACCTGTACTTCTCCTACTCAAACCGACTAAAACCTCCCCCTTCTGATTTAATTTTAGGGTTTTTTGTTTTATCACTTTTGATTCATCCAATATATATACACATTGCAGACACGATTCATTCTTTGAATTTGATCTTCACTTCCCATTACGATCTACCGGAGATCGACGACATGAACTCGGATTTTGAAATGGCGGAAATGCATCGTCAGAAGTCGAAGAAGAAATTCATGGCGGAAAATAATGCTTCGTCGTCTCCGTCGTTATCTTCGTACTTCCCGGTGAACTCAAGCCATAATCTCCTCCAGCAGCAAGCGAATCCCTTCCCTTTCACCCAACCGTTCTTCCAGGAACACCATTTCGTACAGCCCTTCTTCGACGACCCGGTTCGCGAGCACGGCGGCAACACCAATCTGCTGCTCCCTTTGAGCTTCAAGCTTGGGTCGTCCGGTGACGAGATCGGCCAGAGAAACAATGCGCTCGGAGACGACGCTCCGTTACATCGCAATTGCCACGGCGGCGGCGGCGGTGGCGGTGGTGGCTCGCCGGATGCGATGATTCAGTGTTGGGAAAACCAAGAAGATTCCGCGCTTAAGCAACGTTTCTGGTAAGCTTATGTGCACTAACTCTCATGTTATTGTTGTCTCGTTTATCCCCACCCTCGCACATGTTTACTTAGTATTACATTTTAATAATAATAATTGTTTAAAATAATAATAATAATATCATTTTTTTTTTTGTTATGTTAACAATTATTAATATTTTTTTTATACTAATAATGACTTTTTAGTAAAAAAATTTATAAAACTATTTAATGTAATCTTTACTTTATGACGTGACAAAATGTCATTTGTCAGATACCTAAAAAGAAAAGTACAATCTTTTCTAATATAATTGTGTCACCATATTAAAAGTAGAAAGTAAATTAAGAAATGTACCGTTATTATCATGTTTAACATTAATTATTATTATTTTTTTTAAATACATCCAACAAAAAGTGTGATTCAAAACTTCTAATAATAAGTTCAAAAAAAAAATAAAAAAATAAGTTACTCTTGACATGTTTGGTTCAAATACGGGGATGAGAATTGAAATTGTCATTTATTATAAAACATTGAACCAAAATCAAAATAAAAAATAACGAAAAAGTACTCCCGTATTATTTGTTATCTCTTATCTTATCATTCTTATGTGTCTGGTTCAAGTTAATAAAATTGATTTAAGTTATTTATAATTTTCTTTTTTGCAATGCATGTTTAGTTAAGTATGGGTAGATATCATTTATATATTTAGAAAGCATATGAAAAATTCTGTTAATTATACAAAATTAAATTTAAAAGTTATAAGAAAATAAGCAAAATAGGAAGAATTATTTTGAAAAATAAATAGTAAACATGACAAATAATTAAAATAAAAAAGAGATTATTATAAAAATAATGTTATTAAAAAACTCAAATGTTGAATAATGAAATTCTGAAGGACAAGAATATAATGGTGATAGATTGTATTTAATTTTTTTTTTTTCATTCAAACATTCAAAAGTGGGATTCAACTATGGAGTTAATTTTAATTTTTTATTTGGTTTTTATATTGATTTTTCATATGAGAGGGTGTTTTGAACTCCTGACTCACAACCATTCACGTCAAACAAACTGGTTAAAGAGTGAAATTTAACTATTAAAAAAAGACAAACATATAAGGTAAGGTTTGGATAGATTGAGTTGATAGTGTACATAATGGTTCAGTTTTTGTATGGAAATGAACTTGCAGGAAGCCCCTGAGTACAGAATTTCCAAATGGGAATGAGAAAGAATGCCCCAAAGAGAATGATGATGAGGAAAAGAGGAAGGAACAAGAGATGAGTCGCCATGAAACTGAAGAGAAGACCAAATTTAGCTTCTTTGATGGGGAGCTAGAAGCCATTTATCGCCAGGCGGACATAGCAGAGACTGCTCAAACGGCGTCTGGCTCAGCCCTCACCGCCGAGAACTTCCCTGCTAGTGCCAGTCGCCATTCCCAAATGCCAGATAATAACGCAGAAGCCCTTGCAGGGAAGGGAAGAAGGGATAGGAAGAGGCGAAAGTTGAAGAAGGATGTCGATAATGATGATGAGTATAGGTCAATGGGAGAATTCTTTGAGAGTTTAGTGAAGAGAGTGATGGATCACCAAGAAGAGCTTCACAGCAAGTTTCTGGAGACTATGGAGAGGCTGGAACGCGAAAGGGTCGGGAGGGAAGAAGCGTGGAGGAAGCAAGAACAAATGAATCTGGAACGCGAAGCCGACGATAGAGCCAACCAGAGAGCCTTGGCTTCATCTAGAGAAGCTGCCATTCTTTCCTACTTGGAGAAAATCACTGGCCAAAAGATCACCCTTCCTAGTTCCACCTGAACACCCTTCATTATCAACTGACTAAACAAAAAGAAAAGAGAAGTGGGGTAACATCAAGAAAGTGGACAGAAAGCTCACCCAAATTAAAGTTATATGGTAGCTACTGATCGTTCAGAGCTTTATATATATTGTTGGGTGGAATACTGTAGAAGAGTTGGTGCATGGCATGGCAACAAAAGTATTGTTGCAGCTTTTGAGAGCCGTCCGATCCCCAAGAAACGTTGATCCAGTAGCAAGTTAGTAATGAGTTAGATGGAGATTATCAGATGACAGAAATCTGGCATGCAGGTTAGATTAAGTATATATGCATGCCAGGTAGATTAATAATATATGTTGCCCGTAAGGGCTTAGCTCAATGGTTCAATAGGTAGTATTTGGAAGAAGACATCAATGTTCGAATCTCGACGGCGGTAGTGTAGAGAATATGTCTAAAGTGGGCAGGCATTTGACCCTATTTACTGAGCTATTGAATTATCGTGATTTACATTTTTTCAAATGCCGTGTCAGGTTGCGGGAATCTTTAGAATTGGAGATTTAACTTTTAGGAGAATAAGATTAATAATGTATGTTACTTAACCTGAATATTGTCGCGATATGATGAAATCAGACATCATATATGCTTGATGTATGGGTTCATTTCATTAATATTTGATTGATCAACCTTTTAGATTAATAAAATTATACAACATATATAGAGTATCATGTACCGGAAAATGTCACTTTAATTAATTGAACTTTTAAAAACCATTTGATGTTATTTCATCAATAGGGTCAGTATCTACTAATAAATAAATACCTAATTTAAAAACATAATAAGTGTGAATGAAAGTTATACTCTTCATTTATATATGTCAATTTTTCTGTTATGTTTTTTTTTTTTAAAAAACATTATGTTATAAAAGTTATACTATAGAATATTTTGGACATACATATTACTACCGTTACAACTTCCGTTATCTTTTTTCACTATTGTTACTATGCACATGCATCCACCATATATTTTTTTTATATTTTCTTTAATAATAATAATATATACACATTATATATTGGAGTTATATGTTATTTCCTAAAATATAAATATCAAATTTATAAAAATATTTATTATTATTATTATTATTATTATTATTATTATTATTTACAATAATTTAAATATCTAAAATTTAAATAAATCTAAAATTGTAATATAAAGTACTAATATTGGGCACTTATAATAAATATAATAAGAATCAATGTTGATAATGTTATAATAATGACAATAAACATTATGTTGGTGTAATAATGATGTGCATTGATAACTTACATTTTGATTTATTTTTTTTTGAAAAAAAAACATTTTGATTTATTCATTATACAATGATGATAAAACATTTCCAAAATTATCCTCGATCTTTTCATTTTCAATTTTTTATTTATGTGCAAACTTTAGTAACAAAATATTCTTGTTAACTTTTATTACTCTAAACTTAGTCATTGCAAACAATAATAATAATAATAATAATAATAATAATAATAATAATAATAATAATAATAATAATAATAATAATAAGATCAAATTACACTTTTGGTCTTATGACTATAGGGTGCGTGTTAATTTTGGTACGTGACATTTAAAACTAACAATTTAAAGGACTAAATCTACTAAAAAAACATAGCTAAAGGACTAAATGTTAGTTTTAAAAGCCACGTACCAAAATTAATATGTCCCTTATAGTCATAGGACCAAAATTGTAATTTGTTCTAATAATAATACTAAAAGATAACAATGATAAATATTTTGTTTTTATATTATTATCATAATAATTAAATTAGTGTACATATAATGAAGCTCATATAATTTTTTTCTATTCTTTTTGCAACTATTTTCTTCTTTGTGGTAAGCATTTAAATATAATAATATTTATTTAATTTGATTTGTTTTTCTTTCAACTATTAAAAAATTAAAGCTATTATTTTTTGACTCTTCATCTTAAAAGAATATCAGAATATGAATGCAAATTAAATATAATTATTCTAAGAACATATTGTCTTCTATTTGCTTAAACCAAACCTTATTTGTTGTAACACGTACAAATTTTATTTTCTTATTCCAAATCTATATTACTTTAATTGAAATGTATATTTTATTACAAGTTGATCTATCGCGTATGAGACAAAATTTAGCTCTACTTTAATAATTTAAATGCAAAACTTTCAATTTTTTAGGAAAAAAATTAATATTTTAAAATATCAATGATACGGAGTAGTTTACAAAAGGAATAAGGGTCAAATAGGTTATCGAACTACGGATGAAAATACAATTATGGCATGTTTGGTTCATGGAATAGGTCAGGAATGGAATAACATTCCTTGGAATAGACCTATTCCATCGTTTGGTTGGATCATTTTGTCATGGGAATAACATGCCTAGGAATGAGCTATTACCTTCGCAAGGGGAATAGCCATTCCTAGGGGGGCCTTGGTATTAGCTATTCCCATGCCCATGAGAATAGCTTTTATATCAAAAATACCAAAAATACCCTTTGCACAATATATAATATTTATATTTATTTAATAAATATAATGTATTATATAAATGTATATATTTAATTAATTATAATTTTTATCTATCAATATATATATATATATATATATATATATATATATATATATATATATATATATATATATATAAATAAAAAAATTAACTGTATAAGTCTTCTTAATTATGGAGCCTTGGCTTCTAAATTAAGTAGTCTGCTCATCTGCATGCATAGCGGATGGGCATTGCAAGCTTGCCTAGTGGATGAGCATTGCAATTGAAATTATGGAGCCTTGAGGCTCCTTTTATAAGAGTCACAAGACTCCATTCCTTACTTCTCCAACCGATGTGGGACAAGTGGAAAAATAAATATAAATATAAATATTTATTTGTATAATAATAATAATAATAATAATAATAATAATAATAATTATTATTATTATTATTATTATTATTATTCTCTCTCTCACACACACATGCATATACATGTATATAAAATTATAAATAAATAAATAAATAAATAAATAAATATATATATATATATATATATATATATATATATATATATATATATATATATATATATATATATATATATATATATATATATAACATTCAGTATATCATAATCATATTTATTATTATTATTATTATTTTAAAACCTATTCCATTTCTATTCCTTTAACCAACCAAACACTGGAATACAATTACTAAAGTCTATTCCTTCAGCCAACCAAACAACAAAATACAATTCCTATTCTATTCCTTACCTATTCCATTCCCTGTGGAATAGCATACCAAACTGATGTGGATCTTTGGGGATGAACTTGAGAGTCGATTCACCAAAGAATCCTTTGATTGCCCGATCTTTTCCTCACCAAAACAGCAGGAACAACAATTACAGTTTATGGGTGTTGGAGATGGAATTGGTTGATGTAGGGGCTGGATTTGGGATTATTTTTGTGTTTTTGTATAAGGATATTTCCGCCACACCTTGGTCTTAGGTGATAAGGAATAGATGGCACCACAAGATTGGTATTATCTTGATAAGCCTAAAAGAACATCTCCCAAATCACATGAGAGAAAACAAAATGCCTTAGCATTTCTTTCATTCATCTTCATTCATCTCTATCTCTAAAATTCTGATTGTGTTTAGCCTTTATATAGGCTAATACATAACTTTCAAAGGGAAAACAAAGAGTTAAGAGTCTCCTAATATTAAATTTAACATAAATGCTTTTTAAATAACTTAAATAACTACATGACTTTATTTCAATGATGACTATTTTCAATGAGCCTTCTAGGACCTTCTTCTTCATAATATTTGGACCAACATAATGATCTTTTAAATTGTTGTAGTCATGACCTCATCATTTTATTCCCTCCAAATTCATTCCGTGAACCAAACGTGCTGTTAGGTCATTGAATTAAAAAAAAAAAAATGCAATTGGGTCTCTGAACAATGCAAAATGATGTGATTAAGTCAAAAATGATATGTTTACTTGTTAGCTTGAATTGCTGATGTGTAGGTTACCATATTAAAATAATAATTTTTTATTTTATTTTAATAATTTAAAATAACACAAATTAAATTTAAAAAAAAAAGGTTTTCTCTTCGTCTGCAGCCTAACGGAGACTAAGAATGGTTCTTCGTCTCCGGCAGGCTGGAGACGAAGCGGAAAATCTTTTTTTTTTTTTTTTTTTTTTTTTGGTTATTTTTAAGAGAAAATTGCATCTTTGGTCGCTGAGTTATACCTAAGTTCCGACTCAGTCTCTGAGTTATGACCGTATCTATTTTTAGTCCCTCAGTTATGAACGAAGTGACACATTTGGTCCTTGACCGTTAAAACTGACGAAAAAGTTAAAAATATTTAAAATTTGAGGGATAAAGTAGAAAATTCACATTTTATTTTCCTTCTTATATCAAAATCACTTTCACAACATTATTTTTCACTTTTTAGACTCTTATTTCAAAATTGTTCAATTCTAAAAGCATTTTAATAACTTCAGTATGACTTGTTAGGAACCTGACTCTCGTATAACAAACTTAAGACTTAGCATAAACAAAGAAACACTTGATCATTGTCTTCAGACGTGTGAAACACACTATCCTATCAATTTTCAATTTTCTTTACTAAGCAACAAAGGTAATCAAACAAGAACTTTTGAGATACAAAATGATGTCAAATTTCTCAGGTTGCTTTTATGAGAAATTCACCAACGGAATAACATGAGATTTTTAGTATGTAATTTTTTTTCATATGCAACAGTCAATAATCGTTTTTAGAAGTTACAAAAGTTTTTAGAATTTTCATAACTGAGTCTTAGGTTCCTCATTCATTTCTTTGGTTTTAAGAAGACATGGGAGGTGATGGGTATATATATAATATAATTTTCATATATTGTTAGGATATACGATTCTTGATTAAGCTACTGCAGAGCTTACGAAAGAATTTTACGTACTAAAAATCTCAAGTTACTCCATTGGTGAATTTGTCATAAAAATAACTGAGAAATTTGATATATTCTTGTATTTCACAAGTTATGGTTTGATCACCATTATGTTTAGTTAGGGAAATCAGAAATATTTAGGATGGTGTGTTTTACATGCTTGAAGAGAATGATAAAGTATTCTCTCGTTTGTACTGAGTCATAGGTTCCTTATACGAGACTCATGTTACTAACAAGTCATACGGAGATTATTGAATTGCTTTTGGAATTGAAGAACCTTGAAATAGAATGCTAGGAAGTTGAAAATAATGTTGCAAAAGTGGTTTCAATATAAGAAAGTGAATAAAATGTGAATTTCCTACTTTACCCCTAAAATTTTAAATATTTTTTTAATTTTTCCGCCAGTTTTAACAGTCAGGGACCAAATGCGCCACTTCGCTCATAACTGAGGGATTAAAAATGGATACGGTCATAACTCAGGGACTGAGTCGTCACTACTATTATAACTTAGGGACCCAACTCGCCATTTTCCCTATTTTTAATTATTAAAATAAAATAAAAAAATTTATTTTATTAATATGATAACATCCACGTCAGCGAGCTAACAAGTAAACATGTCATTTTTGGATCAATTGCAATATTTTGCGCTATTTAGGGACCCAATTACATTGTTTTTTAGTTCAATGGCCTAACTGCATTTTCGTGTGTAGTTCGG